GAAATATTTATTTAGTATGAATAAAAACTGATTCGAATAAAATAGTAAAATGCGAACGTATATCTATTACGGAACACCGTTTCCCGTTCACGTCACTGTGTTTGTGGAACAGAAATAAACTTTGGCGAGCAAAATAGGGCAGAAACTATTGGATGAATCGAAATATCCTGATAAGTACGCCTAATCCTCGAATCGTGGACCTTTTTGAGAAAAATGTGACTGTAAGTTATATTTTAGATCATTCATAATTTTATTTATCAATTATATTAAACATAATCGTTGTGAGGCACTCATTCTAGACACGTTATTTTCTATCAAGACCTTAACGAAACGCGTGAAAATTCAAACGACTTGTCAGAATTTGAATTGTATTGTTAATTGACTAAACAATACAATCTATACTTTGTACATATTCCGTAACTTTCAGTTTAACTAATAACAAGAATAAAATCTTCAGCATGCGCATGGGTCACAAACGCTTACAAAATGCTTGTTAAAATTTTCGTCCAGACTAATTAAAAAAAAAAAAAAATTAAAAGAACGTGAGACTCTTATTTCTTTTTGTTATTCCAACCAATTGTATTATTCCAATAAAATTGTGTAGAGACTGTCTAGTATGCTAGTTATACTATATTCTATATACTATATTACTATATTCTAGTTATACTATTTGGTCCACCTTGAAAAAAGTAATTCCATCTCAAACGGTGTTCGAACACATTCGTGAGTCACTAAAAATGTAGAAACTATTCAGATGGCTCGCCTCGGGCGACTCGCCCCGTATTTTGGCCTGAGATCTCGAAACGGAATAACGAGACAAGGGGTTGGGATCGAAACGGGACACGGGCCCGTGATCGCGTTAATCTATGCAACCGGTCGTCGGACTAACACGCGCGGAACACGTTGAAATGTTGGTCGACGAATCTCGGGGACGATATGAAGGCATTCGGATGAAAGGCCGGCTGACACCAGGCGGGCAGCTCCAATTATTTTGTGAGCCGAAAATAGGAGCGGCGTCGTTTCCGGTGCGCACGCGGCGCGCTCATTTACTTTCGAGTCACCGGTGTTATAGCGGGAAGACTGTGTAGTCGGTATATATCCGTCGGTACACTTGGTCTATGCCATGGACTGTATGGCATGACTAATTATACTTGAGCCCGCGGCAGATCTCGTTGGCCTGGCCCTCAAGAGGCGGGAAGCACCCCATTAAAGCTCGAGCTTCGGCCGCCCTCCACAAGGAAGACCGCCGACCCGCCAATACGAGCCAACCAGCTGAAAGGACGAGGACGTCGAGCAGAAGGAGAAGAGGCTCAACCTCAGGGACGAACGTATAGAAGCCGCGAGCTGCGAACATACGTTATTCTTTTTCCTCCGAGCGATGTCTGCTCATCCATCTTGATGGACGAGATCCTCTCGTCGAGTGCAGAAGTGCCCCGACGCTTGGACCTTCGTCATTATGTGCAGATAGTATCCTCGATAAAACGATACTTCGATCGTTTCGTTTCCTCGATTTAGGGCTGGATACAGCGGCTACTGCACCAGCATTGCTGCTAGATTTATCGTTTTTATCTCATTCGACCCAACTTTTGTGTATTTCATACAGCAGCGGGAAAGTTCATTTTGAAATAATTTATAAGCTGTGTATCAATGATTCATTTAAACGTGTATTTTTGTTCTAGCAGTGTTCTTTTATAAATTTGTTATATTTTACTTTTTTATTAATAGATGCGAAAACGTATTATTTAAGAGTACTGTACAAAGAAATATACCTTGAATAGAAAAAATAATATTCATAGCACTTTTTCTTACATGAATACAAATTAACCCTCTCTTAAGCAAACCTTGAACCATCTAATTCCTTATACATCCTAGGGTTAATAAAAAGTAGCCTGTGTAGTTTATACATTTATGGCAAAAACACCGGGAGGAGTTGAACAAATTGTTACATTTCTTTCAATTGATTACAACTGTTAAAAGAAGAAATACATTCCTGTTTGACTTTGCAATTTCCTGTGGTTTTGCAATTGATGTGGACAGTTTCTAATGGTGTAACGTTACTTTTACATGTTACACATGATTCGAGGAAATCATATAGGAATCTTGAGCATTGTGAAATTTTAACAGCTCTTTTAACTTTGTACAAAGGTCTAGAAACATTTAGCTTCCTATCAACGGAGTCGAAATAAATATTTTATTCCCTGAATCAAAACTTTCATTCAATCAGTTGTAATATTTCAATAAAATTGTGTAGGAACATGTACACTAATATAGTCTATGCAACGTTGGTCTAGGTGTATAAAAACCTAGACCAACGTTCTAGTTATATTAAGTATTTGTTACAAGAACTTACCTTAATTGTTGCTATTATAAACAAAACCGTTCGTCTTCGTTTCAGTTAACACTTTTGCTTAAAGGACTTCAAACAATTATGTAATTTACAGATCATATACACAGACTTGAAGGTGCAATTAGTTGTATCAACCCTCGAGTGTCCCTCAGAAATTTGTGAAGGGCTATCGCACAACGTTTCACTCGTTTTCTAATAGGATTTAGCGAGTATTATAGCATTCAGAATTTTATATTCAAATAAAAATTTAGTTCGGGAAACTCTTAAGGAAAAATCGTATACCTTAACGTATTCTCATTTTCAGCAGGTCGAACAGTGTCACTAAAAGAGTGGAAACGAACGTTTACGTATGTACATCTGTCAAATGGTAAACGCGTCTGATACAAAAAAGACAAGAACTCTGAATATATTACGAGCGTCCGCTGCTCCCAGATGTGGCATTAAATAAATACTAAAAACATGATGATGATTCCCATGTTTGTTTGACAAACAATACAATTAAACAGAAAACACTGAAAATTGTGGCACACCCTGTAAGGCCAAATATTGTATCTTGTCAGCAGGTAAGGGTATTCGAACATGTTTTTGATAAAATTTTAGTTCAATTTAAACTTAATACTTCATAAAGGGTTTATGTAAAATGTGTTATCTGTATATTAAACTCAGTGTGCGATTGTATAATTATTTATTATTTAGAAATCGTGTGTCTCCAAGCCGATTCATTCTGATTCTAATTTATGAAGTTAAAATAAACGAATCTTGATGTTACGCGCAAATTTTGAGAACTTTCAGACGCTTTTCGTAGCTACATAGTAAATTGCATAATTCCATATTAATGAATATGCGAATCACCGAAAAAATTTAAAAACCAGTCTAATTTTAATTGACAGATGAATCAACATCGTTACAACGTGCGTGATCTTTGTTTCATTAATTAACATTTTAAATAGAGACATTTAGTGTTATGTAGACTATTATGATCGATCTGATCTTGTAATTAATCCGTCGACTAACACAATTGACGACTACCGCGATTTATGTCACAATTACATTATACACTGCGTTGTAAGAGGTTTCCTGGAATTCTCCTAGTGTTGAGAACATCTTCCCGAGGCGATGTGTCGTTTCCTCGAGCTCGTAGCGATCGGAAGAATTCCTCCTCGAACTATGGCACCGTTGGCTATGCCAGATGCCGCGGAAAATCACGGAGACACTCGATGTTTTAGGGTAATGGAGATTCCGGTCCCCTCGCGGCTCCTCGGGAACGAGTAATCTGGAGGATCGTTTCTGGGTGAGCTATATACCGCGGCTCCTTAGCTTGCCAAAGTGGCACGTGTGGCAAAATGCGTCTGTGCCTGTGTCTGTGAACGTTCTATAGCGCGTTCGTGCTCCATTTCTCGTGTACAAGGTGTAACATAATTATTCGACGCCAGTCCGGACCGTTACATCTTGCACAATCGCTTACGAGGAACTTTTGACAATTTACAAATTCGAGATAATTCGAAACTTTTCATGAATGTAGCTTCTACGATGTTAGTAATGTTAATAACTTGTTCGATCAACTGAAAACGACATTAGGTGTGAAAACGTCCTCGATAATAAATCTTGACTTTTTATGTTATCGTGAATAACTAGAGAAAGCTCAGACACAAAAATATAAATGATATTCTGAACACTTATACCTATTGTATATCCTTGATGAACTTTGAAAAGCTCGAACAAATATTATGTCGACAAAGTAACACTCGGAATGAGAACTGACCAGAAATTTTCGTATTATTTATGTTATACAAAACCTAATGGTTCGATTGACTTTCTTTAATAAACGTTTGATGTTAATTCCTACATTCATAGTTAGGTATTGCTTAGATGTTTATTCATTTACTTGAAATAACTACAGTTTTTGGGAGAAAAGCATTTATTTTTCAGCAATAATTATATCCACGAAACTACGTCAAACTTTTTTTGAATCTGTAGGAATATAATCTTTATGCGTTATTAATCAAATAACAAAAATCAATTGTTTGAAGTTAGAAAAAGCAGCCTCCTTTCTTTAAGAAATGAAAATGTAACTAGGCTTAAACAGACTCAAAAATGCAGCCATTTGAAGCATTTGAACCTTGAAGCATTTGAATCCGAAATCAATAAGGATAATTTATAAGTCACATGTACTTACGTATTTTGATATCCTGCCTGCGCAATATATGGACGGTTCAGAAGCCGATTAATGTAAGTCCACTTTCCTTTGAAAATGAATTGTGCAAACGCATATTTATCATAGAATGTCTCGGAAGATAAATAAATTATTTCTTCATAAATAAACTATACACACAGCTACACAGTTATATTAACCACAGAATGACTAAACAAAATTGTTCAGAGACAATTGTTTCTTTTTTACTGAAAAAAACATTGATATTTTTCTTCTGTTTTTCTTCTGGTTAATTTCATTTGTATGCCATCTTATAACGAAAATTCTTCTTTGCATTATTAGAGGCATTGTTATATTTTCACAGAAAATGTACAAAATCCTTATTTATCTTAATTTCAAGGATAATGGACTTACACTGGCTGGCTAATGAATAAAACAATTCGAGATAAAGGAGAGATAACATTTACAGGTACAGGTGAACGTGAATCATGGCGCCGTCGCTTACGCTTCGAATGCTTTAGTTATTTATTTAAACAAATCCCAACATTCCAAACATTGATAGTTGTGTGTAGGTGTAGGTGAGTGTACGTGTATCCGCGTGTTCGTCTGTTTGATTGGATCCTGTATGTAAATGACGCAGTTTCGCGCGTGAATTCATCGAGAGTCTTACAGCTAATGAGACTCGTTCGACACGAACGTGGGAATCTCGCTTAAAATCATCGATCGCGATTCGAAACCGAAAAGAAATTGCGTTGATCGAATGGATCGACCCGCCGATTCGTCGACGGATCGTCAACGACAGGACTTTCGGACTTCTCATTCAATCCGTCTCAATCTCTCACGCTTTCTTTCTCGCATTTTCTTTCGTTCTCTTTCTATTTCTTTCTCTCTCTCTCTCTCTCTCCCTTTCTCTCTCCCTCTCGCTCTCTCTCCCTCTCTCTCAGAAAATTCAAGCCATGTCGTGGTTCTAAAAACGTTCTGGCACAATCGAGTCGTCTCTTCTTGCCGTTAAACACACGCATGAATTCTCTTTGGATGGCGAGCGTTCTTCGACTAGAATAAATTATAGTAGTTAGGTTACTTACGGCTGGCCCCTCGCGCGGGTTCTTTCCTCCTCCCTTTCCGTAGCACACAGACACACACACCGATGCTCGCAAAGACTTGCTTCCTGCTTAATTGTTCCTCTCCGCCTTCGTTATCTCAATTACAATGTTGCTTGAATCACCAACGAAAGATCTTCGCCTCGCAATTATCGGTGACAGTTGGGGGACGCATGGGGCTCCAATTTGTCACGAGTCTTTGTCTTTAAACCAATCTTGACTTAATTAACCACTTGCGTTATAACATTCTGTCGCAAAGTCGCGAAAGACTTAAACAGAGTACCCGAACATTTATAAAAATTTGTAAAGTCAATGGGGTATCCGATTTTCTAGAATTTAACGGAGATTTATATTGCTCTGATTCTGTCAAAATCGTTGACACAAAAAATTGTGTTAGGTCAAATCGTTCGCTAAACATTTAAGAAATCAATCAGACGTAAAATTTCGTAAAGATCAACAATGTTATCCTTAATCTGCTGAAACTATCGGTACAGAAAATAACAATTTATTCAGCTATTAACTTTGAGAATTTATAAAGTAACAACTTGGAATTAGGGTTTTTATATATTTGTAGCACATAGAAATTTGTAAAATCAATGGAACATAGACGATTAAAATTTAACATATATTGTCTTTGCTCTATTGCGGTTGTTAATGTAGAAAATAATAAGTTATTCAACTATAAATTCCCAAGAGTTTTCGATATCGACAAATAGCAGTGCAAATTTGTATACATTTGCAGCTCACAGAAATCAATGAGATATAAAATTTCGTAGAGTTTAACATATTTATATCGTTTTGATCTAGCGAAACTGTTGATATCACAAATAATATTTTATTTTAACAGTGAAATCTACGAATATCTTAAACTGGCAACTAGCAATGAAGAACTTTTATGCATTCGCAATGCATAAAAATGTAAAAGCTCAATAATATACAAAATTTCATAGAATATAACAAAGTTTTATATTATTCTTAATCTACTGAAGCTGGCAGTACAGGAAACGATAGTGTGTTCAACAGTAAACTGCACTTAACATGTAAAATTAATACGTTGAAGCAAATCTTTCACGGATACAGTTTAATTATTATATGTATACTGAAATCGAAAACAATTATTCCACTTCTATTGGTACTACTACCCTCCAAAAGAGTCTAATTACACTGTCATAAAAATTAGACTCACTTAAACAACTGAGAGTACAATAAATACAATAATCCTGCATTTTATTCTCTTAACTCAAAATTTGATTTTTCTGTTACCGATATTAAGCCTTTATACTCAACAAACACAAATTTCGTGTTTCAAAGAGCCCTGGAACGTAATTTGAAAGGGAAATGTTAACACTCCAGCCTTGCGACATCAAAGAAACCGTTCTTTCGTTGAAATGTCACCGACAAACGTAATGAACAGCAATTATCTCTACCAAGCACTACCATACATCAAACAAGCAAATTCTTCACAAAATTGTCTCAAAGATCGTACTCCGCTAATTTAAAACACTGAAACTTCTATAAATGCATAAAATTTGTAACCTACTAGCAACCGTGGAAATATTATCTCTCTATACTTAATATTCAACATTTCAAAGCGCAACCGCAGGACAAAGTTTAAACCACCGACAAAATAAACCCCGAAGCAAAATCTCGCCGTTTCTCATGCAGCAGAGAGTTCTCCGGACTTCGCTAAAAACTGAAGACCATAAAGTTCAGGGAGCAGAGTCATTGCCAGCATCTTCCGAAAGAAGAATAGCATCAGCCTGGACCCGTACACACGTCCCAAGCCTCCCACATCGAATACAATTTACAAGATGCATCGCCCATCGTTCCTCGCGCCGAGTTTCGCAACCCTTGTCCATCGACATCCCCCCTCTCTCTCTCTCACTCTTTCTCTCTCTTTTTCTCTCATTCTCTCTAAATCTCACGCAGTCTCGCACACATGGTACACACGCGATTACACAGAATTCCAACGACTCGGCAATTTATTATCTAGCAGGTTCCGTTCCATAGAACGCCTGCAGCTTCTTATGATCAGGTCCAGTCTCCGCGCGACTATCCTCTCCTCTCGCGGCACCGAGAAGTCGAGGTCAGACCTTCCAATTCCTCGAATAATTCCACTTAGTGCTCCGACAAATCCGGATAAAAGGAAGCCCGGGCAAAGCAGCCTGGCTCCCTGGCGCGTTGTCTTTTGGGTTCCTGAGATTATATCAATCCCCTCGTTTCACGGCGTCGAGCGTCGCGACGACCTTTCGCCGACGATTCAACTTCTTGCGCGGATGTGATCTCCGGCGAGTCGAACTCGTGTCCTCGATATCCCGTTTTCTATGGAACTTACCCCCTTCCCCCTACGAGCTCCGGCAATCTTACCGGCGGAAAAAAAGGTAAAGGATAGACGTCTCGACGTCCGAGACTTTCCCGGCGAGCCCCGTTCTTCTCCGGCAAGTTTCCCCGACGGTTTCAATAGCCCGGATAAGGTCAACAACATCCTCGATCAGGTTAATTCCGGAGAACGAGGAGCGGAGAACCTTTAAAATCGTCGTCCCGTATCTACGATGGCGCACGAAATATTCAGAGCGGCGATCGGTAAACGTTGACGATCTAGCTTAGATCGGAGATGCTCTCTGAACGATGGAGAATAGTCACCACCGGGATTCGGTTGCCCGGATTTCCAACGGAGACAATTCGGCGAACTGATCTCGGCGAACGACGTTTCCAACGGCTTCGTTTTCACGTTTGGGCTACGTGTCCCAATTTCTGCGCCCTCGAGCCAATTTTTGCTTTGCCGAAGCTGTCATTGGAAACTTTAATCTTCATTTAGAGCACTTGAAATACTATTCGTTTTTTTCTCGGACGTATCGGTTTTGAAAAGCGTCTTTTCGCGTGACAAAAATTCGTAATTTCATAATGTTTCTAATGAAGAACATTAGGATAATAGGAAAATTCAGTACGTAATTTGGAGTACAGTCAGAGTTAGAGGTCCGATGAAACACGATCAATTTGAATCCGTCTGACAATAATTTTATAATAGTTCAAATGAGAAACGAGTGTTTATTATTTTAAGTTTGAAATAATGATGCGCTAAAATTGTCGAGGTCTCTCGCTTAGTTGAAGGATTTTCACGTTACGTAGAGCTTTGGAAACGACGCCCTAGTTTAGAAAGATACCGCATGGATGCATTCTCTATAAATCGATTGTTCTTGTTATTTTGATAGAAATAGGTGTGCGTGCATTGCCGGCAGTTTCAGCGTTAAGAATGCTCCATGGGAAAGTAATATCACTGAAGGAATTGTTCCTGGAATATTATTGTAATCGCGATATAGAAAACTCTGGAAGTGACTATTTACCAATCGAGCACCAACCGTTGTTTTAATCGTAACACTCTTTTAAATTGAGCATCGGGTTAATGCACGCGAAATCTTAATTTCTGTTATTCGAAATCTCGTCGAAACATTTGAACGGCGCAACTCGTGTTTCGATTGAGAAATCACGAATCTAGAAAACTAGCGACGCGTATTTGCGAATGATCTAAATGCTATAAAAGTAACAGCATGGAGTACTTACTCGTGCACACGACTCCTTTGCACCGTCGACTGAAAAAGACAGAAAGCGGAAATAAAGCAGGAAGTGAATCAGCGAGTTTATAAAAAATCCTTGTCGCAATCAGGAGAATTTCAAACAAGAGGAAACCTTTAGAAAATCGATGGGACATTCGAGGAGACAGAACAGTTGTTCGAAGAACCGATTTCGCGTGCAGAAACCCGCCAGAGAGACGCTTCCGTTCGTCTAGAATCGAAATCATTAAGGCCACTGATTTGTGCTCTCAGTTGCCGACATGTTTGCTCCTTCTCTGATGTAACAACGTTGTCCCTACGTATACACTGTTCAGCTACTCGGCGATAAAACTTTAAGAAACTGCAATTACAGACGTTCGTCCCGTAATATCCAGCAGTTCAGACTGAAGAACATAGTCTGCAGACAGCAGTAGATATCTAATTAGGGTGTTCAGCAAAATCGCTGGGTTAAAAAGAAAGTCTGAAGATGATACGTTGGTTCGTTTAAATTCGCAGCATGTTTGTATAACGACCTGCTCGAGGCACATTGTATCTTCTATTTTCTTCGGTAAAAACTTTCAAAAGCATGAGTGAAATGAAACTAAATATAATGATACAGATAGGAAATAAATTGATATGATACTGCGTAAGGTTATACGCTCCTTTTTGAATGGAGAAAAAATGCGCTCAAATACGTTTCACACAGAAACGCGGGTAAATTAACAAAGGAATGTGATTATCACGAAAATTTGATACTGTTCCCATTTCCGTTTTGCTTCTTTTTCGGTTCTTCAAAGCGAAAACTCCTGTTTAATGAAGACAGGGGTTAGCCCATTTCCCTTTTGAAATTAGTCTACAAAAGTTGTTACACTCAAATTAATAAAATTCTTTTGTTCAAACAAAAGGACTTCCATCGCTATTACATTAAAACATGTTGAATCTTTCTCCGTCGAAAAATGTGTTAGAGACTTCGCTCGTTAATCCGGCATTGCAACCATTTATCATTTTCCCCCATACTAAACAACAACGTGTCAATTTAACCAACTAGATTTGACCACCAGAAATCCAAAAATTACTAAATACAAATTGACAATTTAATTTTCGACTCCGACTGTCTGCAGACCGTAAATCTGAACCAAAAAACCTACGCGATTCGCCGGAATTCCCCCGCGAATCGTACCTCCGACCCTCGTCTCCAGAACCAAAGACCTACGCCCCCTCACAGAATTCTGCCGATCCTTCGAACAACATCTCAAATCCATGGCACGTCGCTAACAACAGTGGCGACACCGTACACGATGCCTAAAAGAAAACCGAGCTGGCCCGATCGACCACTGCCAGCAGTAGCGACCCGTCGCGCCCTCGATGAGCCTGCGTGTGCCGAAAGTCCCCTTCAGACCGAGATCTCTTGAATTTGAACACGTTTCTTGGCGCTGCCGGGCGTGCCGGGCTGCCTGAGTATCCCAGGACAGGACAGCCCGACGTTCGGCGCTGGTACTTTGGGTGGCGGTGGTGGTTCCGGCAGGTTGTCGTCGTCGTTGTCGTCGTCGCTGCTGTCCGCGTCGAAGTCGTCGTTGTCGTCCATCCTGGCAGTGGTCGCGTCGACGCACGGCGACGGCGTGCGTGTCCTCTGAACACAGGGGCTCATCGTGTAGAGCGGCGGCTCGAGGATCCTCTTGCCTCCACCAGGCGGCGGGGAGCATTGGAACTCTTGGAGCTGCAGCTCGAGCTCCTGCGCCAGCTTCGCCTTGTGCGGCGGCGGGCTGGAAGACGGCGAGTCCATCAGATTCAACGTAGACAGCCTCTGTTTACCGGAAGACATCTCGATGCCGGAGCAACCGGCCTCCAGCAGCTCCTCTTTTTTCTTGTCGCCGAACGAGGACAGGCCGGCTGCGTTCGAAGCGTTCCTGTCCCTCTGATGGTAGATCCCGGCGAATATCAATATGTTCAGCAGCAGCAGAAACACGCCGACGGCTATCGTCACCGTCAGAGCCGTGGTGTAGCTCTGGTAGTGGCTCGAGGCCAGCTTGCGCAGCAGGTTGTTGGGCCCCGGGCCCAGGTTCGACTGCTGCAGCGTCCTCGAGGTGGTCGCCACCGTCGTCGCTACCGTCACGTTCGGCGTGCACTCCGTCGTCGAGATCACGCTCGACACCGACGACGGCTCCGTCGGCGACGGCATCGGCAACGGCGGCGCCGGAAGCGGAACCGCGAGCGTCTGAGGACGCACCGCGCCCTCGTACAGGCTGGGGCTCTCCGCCAGGTGGTGGTGACGCATGCTGATCTCATAGCCCGGACGGTGCAGCTGCGGCAACAGATTCAACCACAGCGACATCTTATGGCCTCTGTAATGTGACCGCATCTCTGTGCTACGACCAGCCTCCAGGTACAGCTGGTTTATCGAATCGTACGAGTCCCAGAACGGCGGGCTCGTCGGAAGCCCGCCCGATCCCGTTGTCAAAGGACTCGCGCCGTTCGGGTCCCTGAAACAATCAGGGCAAGGACCTGTCATCGTACACACGGTGCCCGCGAGATTATCAGCCGTATCGTTGGGGGATACAGTAATTTCTGCCGGAAATGCTTAATTTCGGGTTTCTGTGATTTTCCCTGAGCTGATCCTACGTCTATGTAATTTATTGCTACGTCGATGGTTAAGGGTCGACGGAGTCGGTCAAGCGCGTGATGCAAAAGACAATACAAAATGGTTTCTTTGGGTGTGAGTCAGATAAAACAAAAACCGTAAAGTTAGAAGGTACGTGGTAGGCCACGGAAATACCAAACTTTTGGTTCCTCCGAATTTTCCTGTGCTAGTCCTACGCCTATGTAATTTATTGCTACGTCGATGCTAAGGGTCGAATTCTCGACACGAATTCTCGGAAGGCTGAAATGGTCTGTTTGGGGGTGAGCCAGATAAGAAAAACCGCGGAACTACGAGGTACGTGATAGATACTAGATACATGACCGTCCAATCATGGCATGTAGCATCTGAATTGCCTTTAAATCGTGTCATTTGACCTCCGAATTGCCTTCGAATCCTGTCATGTGGCCTCCGAATTGCCTTCGAATCGTGTCATGTCGCCTCTCAATTGTCTCCGAATCGTGTCATGTGGCCTCCGAATTGCCATCAAATTGTATCATGTGACCTCCGAATTGCCTTCGAATCATGGCATGTGGCCTCCGAATTGTATTCGAATCGTTGGAAAAAATTGAAAGTAGAAAATGTTAAGTCATCCTTTTTATTCTAGCATTACTACGTGTTCATATTAATATACACCGGCATGTTGGCCACTACCTTTTTTTTGCCGACTGCTCTGAGTTTCTATAAAAACGAGCCCTAGGGCTCGAAGAATCGCGACGTAGTACAATAAATTCTCTCTGATTGACGCTCAGATTGTGCACGAAAGTAGACAATTTTTTTTATAGTTATTGACAATCGGTAACTACAAAAACGGGCCGTTTGGCTTGAATAATCGTATCTCTTCTTTCCAATTCGTTCATTTTTGTATACAAACTGAGCGTCAATTAGGAAAACTTTACTGTATTCTCAGATTTGCCGGTTTTCAGTTCCGACCTCCAAACGTTTCTGGGAGAAATTACTGTAATTAGCACCTGGAAGCGCTAATACAGTTCGCAACCGAAAGATGGCAACCCTTGCGTAACATTTTCGTTTAGAGATGAGACACTCGAAAGACCACAAAACTTACAAAGTTTCGAGTTCTCGCAATTTATTTAACTAATTGAAATAAACTTTACGTTAACTAAACAAAAATTAATTCGCTCAGGAATTCGTACGAAAAACAATCGATTTGTATAAAAATTATAAAATATGAAGTGTTCTTTTCATAGATTATCGATTTATTTCATCCATGTTCCTTTTTGAAAATGTTGCATCGGTAAGTTTGTTATTTTTGGATGGATTGAACATTGATGCATAAGTGATCTTTCTACATCTGGAGGAGAAGGCATCAGCATTTTTTTAATTCTATAATTAGTCGACATTTAATTGATCTAGAATGTAATCGTATAAGTATATTCTTATAATATTATGTACAAACGAAAACAGTCAACAATTATTCGTATTATTATTCGAATAATTTTACAATCTCTGGTCGAGATTATTTCGAGATAAAGAATTATTCGGATAAGACGTTCGAATAAAGAATTATTAGAATAAATAGTTCGAATAAAGATTATAAAATTATTCGAATAATAACGCGAATAATTTGTTGACTGTTCTTCCTTGTACGTAATTTTACAAGAATATATTTATACGAAAACATTCGGAATCAGTTCAATTTCAACGAAGCTTAAAAATTTATAAAGTAAGAACAAACTATTCGTCGAATAAATAGAATAATTTATGACGAATAATGAATAATCATTTATCGAATAAAACATTCGATTACGAAGAATTCGTTCGGATAATTATCATACAGTGAGATAAATATTTATTAGAAACAATTCAAATAATACCCTATTGTCTAATTTTCCGAATCAATTAGTTCCCTCGTTTCCGAATGGACACGCTGAAAAAAACATTGGGGGCTCTCTTATTTCGGCAGTGCCGTTGGATTACTTCGCGGCGTCGAGCGGCTCTGTCATTTTTCGATTTGTATAGCGAACGGAGGACGAGAAACTTGGCCGGAAATTGCGTTTCAAAATTGAGTTGGTCGGACAGCTGGCTTTCTCTGAGCCAGCAGGTGTCCCGGCGATATCGCGTGGACACGAATGCAATCGCATCGTGTGTTTTCTATCTCGCCGTTGCTGCCTGCCGCAGTCAGGGTCTCCCTTTTCGTGAAAAACGACCCCGGCCGCGTGTCGTTGCTCGTAAGGATCAAAAAATATACGAGAAGAAGCGAGAACAAAGAGTGAAACATCGATTCCGCCGAGTCGAACGCCAAGAAATCTGGGACGAGGCGAGATACTCCAAGATTGGAACCCCGGCCCTTGATTAAGAAAAATCCCGATCCACCCAATACGGCCGATAATTAAATTTTGCATATTTCATTAATTAACGCTGGATTCAGGTATTTAATTTATATATACCATATACAACAGGTACAGGTACATTGCTATGTAATCCTGACAAGACTGCGATTATATTCAGATTTCGTACTATTTATATTGTTTCGTGCTTTAATAAGAAAGTTTGTTAGAAATTTCTGATAAAAACGTTTTTCTGACATCGGTAATTCTGAAACGTTTCAGCCGACCGGTAATTATAATATTGATACTAATCACCTTAGCTCTTTAAAATTTGATGTGATGAAACGTTGTATCAAAAAATGAAAATGAGATCGAACGTATTTATAGTATATACTTCATTGAAAGTTTTCGCAATTTATGAAATACATGGAAGTAGTGCAAATTATATTTTTAGCGATATCTAGTCGCCAATGAAGCGCAAACAATTAAATTATTATGTGTAATTACTAAATTGCTGATCATTATGTAGAATGAAATGTTTCCACGTTGAGTGCGAGAAATGAAGACCAAATAGAAGTGTCTTCTTTCATTTCAGTAATTGTAATATTTCAAAAATAATAAATTGATATTTCAAAATTCTTTCAAATTTTTTATTGGCTTAAATCTTACCCACACATGTTTGTCATGTATATGTGAATTTCCGCAGCTTAATAATAACATGTAGGTATGTTCTTATTGGTGCACTGGCACTGTATCCGCAGGCTAAAGTCAGACAAGTAGAATACACGTGTCCTTAGTCAGACAAGCTGTGTTCTTCATCAAGGAAAATAATTGTGCCTCTAAACAATTTTCATACGACCAGAATATGAAAAAAGAACTCGAATATTTTTCACACTATAGTTCCTCAAGCGTCGAAGATTAATAATAATAATTGATCATTTTCTTAATGAGCAGTTCATTAGCTACATCAATCAATCTGAACATAAACGGAATAAATATTTATCGCAACTTGAAAATAATGAAACAAATTGTCTTACATTTTTTCAATTTTTACTTATAAATATCGATGAAAAGAATTCGTTCGTGGAAGCAGTTTAAAAAGCAGTGCAATTTTTTGTTTACGTTTCTACTCAATCCTAGATATTATATTATTGATTAAAATGTAAATAAACGTTATTCAAATTGATTCAAATGTTTTATTTAAAATACGACAGAACTTTTCCGAACTTCAACGTATTAGGTACGTGACCGTCGAATCGTGCCATGTGACCTTCGAATTGCCTTTGAATCGTGGCAAAAAATTAGAAATAAAAAAATTAAGTCACGATTTTTATTCTAGCATTACTATGTATTCATATTAATGTACACCGATATGATGGTTGCTGTCGTTTTCTGCCGATTGCCCCGAGTTTCTACAAAAACGAGCCGCGAAGTTCGAAGAATCGCGACTAGTATTCTCAGATCTACCGGTTTTAATCCCGACCTCTGAACGTTTCTGGAAGAAATGACTGTAAACTGTATTTTGGAGTGTAAGGAGTTTGGTAGAAACGTTGCCACGAAACCTTCAAATATCGATATGATAACATTTCAGAAATACAGTAACTCGGTCGTTTTGTAGCAGCCTTTTTTCAGAAAAGGTTACAATTATTTGGATAGTGCGAGCATGCGAAGGAAATTCGAAGGACGTGACTGATCGTCGCGTTACAAGTAAGTTCGAGGTTCACCGAGACAGCTCGCTGACTTCGTTATCCGAATCCCTCGCGGCAACGTCTCAATTTTCCGCGATTCCCGTTCCCTCCGCGTTTCACAGAAGAACACCTGCTACGGGGAATCGAGCGAAGTTGCCGAGCCAAGTTTCCCGCGTTCAAACTTCCGGAAATCAAGTTGACCAGTCCACCGACTACTTTCATTGTAGATTGTTCAGTAGACGAACTTCCCGTAATTCGAAAAGTTCCGCTGCGAACGGATGTTTCAACTTTTTCGCGCGATGGAAGTGGCAACGACGTTAATTAAGACGTTAACGGTTCATCAGAAACGCGAGTGGTCGAACGACATCGAGAAAAATGACAGACCAAATACAGTAAATCGTTTCCAATTTTCCTTCAACTTGTACACAAAAATGGACAATCTGGGAAGAGGAGGTGCGATTATTCGAGCTTTGTAGCTCGTTTTTTATAGCTACCGATTGTCAACAACTATAAAAACGAGCCGCAACGCTGGAATAATTGCACCTCCTCTTGTGTGCTTCGACTAAGTTTCCATAATTTTGCATTTCATTTGGAACAAATCACTTGAATTTCTTTTTTCCGTTTCTTTTTCTGCAACGACGCTAAATAGAGCGAACTTTGCGGTTTAGAGAGTCATAACATGCATATACAGGGTGAGTCACAAATTAGTCCTAACGAAAAATGTTTCCTGCCAAAGTTAATTAGTATCTAAACAACAAGAAATTACAATTGCTTAAATTTAAAAACAAATTGATTTTCGATAAAAAAGAAACAAGGTCATCATTGTATTTTTAAATAAAACTAGGTAACTTTGACTTCATATAGTATTGTAGGCGACGTCGAGGTGAATTCAACGACCCGCTACGTGATGAAGGAAAAATCTTCCATGAATCGATTGCCACAATATTTGAAATAATTTGGCGATACATAATACCAAGGCCTCGCATGTAAACATGAACAAATCAACGTAAACGTTACAAATGCTCATTTATTCAATTTCAAAGCTCAGCTTTCTCTATTAGCTTCAGCTATAGTTGTTGACAATCGATAACTATAAAAACGAGCCGCAAGGCTCGAATAATCGTATTTCCTCTTTCCAAATTGTCCATTTTTGTATCCAAGCTGACCGTCGATTAGGAAGAATTTACTGCATCGAGTCGGTCCATAAGTTCGCGCGCTATTAATTCCGATTGAAATCTCCCGCAGAATGGTTGCCTAGCAGTTATGTCTCGTACCTCGTTCGATAGCTTTGGTTTTATCCTGTTGCAAGATTGTTTACTTATTCTTTCTGTTTGCTTAACACATTAAAGGCGGGGGATCTTGACGAAAGTATGCTAGGTAACGCGGCGACCGCCCCGCCTCGTTTTTCGTTCTAGAGCGGGCGATATTTTGTGTAATCATAAAAAAATTTACACTTAAAAAAGTTTATTTAAACTCTTAAAGCTAAAAGAAATATTAAAAAAGAACTAAACACTAATTACAAAAAATGTTTTAAAGTACATATTTATGAGAAGTCGAGATAAATCGTAGTACTACGACCACCGCCTTTAATGTGTTAATAGAGCGATTCATTTTTTGAAAAATATGGAGTATCAAGCTAAAATAAACGTACATTCCCGACGTATGTTTTGCTGTACGATTCAATCGTAAATGTTCATTCTCGTGTTTGTTTCTCACGCGGAACGAATAAGTAAACAATCGAACAACGAGAGAGAACCGAAGCTAATGAATGAGATATAATGGTTAATTTCAAATAAATTTAAATGAAACCGCGCGCATTTATGCGCCGACCCTATTATTTCACTGTTTTCGTTATCAAGAAATTAGGATGTTACGTGTAAATTCACTCGACCGAAATCAAAAAGTAAAACGACGGTGCAACAGGTTTTACTGCTTATAAAAACGACGCGCTCTTTGTGCACGCGATTTTCCGATTACCAAGCCAAACTTTGCGTAAAAAGCGAAATTTCGGACAATTGCACGCGCGGCAGCAGATCTATTCGGAGTTCAATTGCCCGAGCTAATAACTGGACTAGCGAAATGTATTTGCATGGAAATTGCGTTGCGCACTGGCCCGGCAGACTAATCATCTCAACTGTTAATCCAATTAGATTCGTTATTCGTGATTTGTGACCGTAAAAATTCGGCTGGATAGTCGCAGACTAATATTGACGGCGATACAAATGTTTCATGTCAGCTACAAATGTTAACAAAGCCAGGCGTGAACTGCAGCTTCTTTATCAACCAATGCAATCAATAATCAACCCTTATACGCCCTCACTGTTCGAACCAGTTTCTAAGTCAAATTGAATTGATGCGACGTTCAAAATCACAGATAAATATCTGAATTTGTAATATTTTTGTAAAATCTGATTTTTCACATCCTACTGTAAAGTATAGGAGAGGGAGAGGTTATGAACCCTCAATTTTGTGGGTCTCTTAATTAGTAGATGAAATGTTCAAATCAATATAAAAATAGAAAATTCAAAGACAGCCTGTCTTGTCTATTTTTTCAAAGTCGCTCGTTGAGGATAGAAGAAAATGATCGAGCTTTCATTCTATCATTTATACGATTCTTATTTATTTTTTATACAATATAGTATAAGAATTTAAAGACGAATCAATGCGATAATAAAAATAGACACGATACAGGGTGCCCTAAAAATACCTAACTTTACAAATGACCTTTACAATTGCAGTACTCTCTCCCTCTCATAATAATTCTTGTCGTGCAAGCATATTCGTGGATTATACGTATTTTAAAAGCGACTCTTCTAATAGTTCGCACAATGCATACCAAAAATGATACACATATTTCATCATAAAGAGAAGTAGTGTGCACTGTTCGTTTGTTTCGCTTTCCTCGTATCTAGAGAAATTGGTAAGGTAACACAATTTCGTGGAAATATTGGGTCTGCCGGAAAGTTCTGTCCGTTTGAGAAATGAAAGGAAATAATAGATTTTTCATAAATTTAGTAATATTTATATTGTACAATATAATTTCCGTCGTTACTTATGACCTCTTGCTAGTGTGATGGCAATTTGTGAGCAACATTTTTCAAAAATATATGTCTCAAATGAATATGTGCATATCTATTAAAATTTGCAATGACATTATCAGACAGAACTTTCCGGTAGACCTAATATATTCCCCTACAGCCCCTTATACGGAACTATCGAGAGAGGATACTGTACCGAGTAACATATTCAAACGAATCCAAAAGCAAATGTTAACTAGAAGCCTATTTGATCTTGTATATTTTTTCGTTTAGATTGCTCGTTATAGATAGAAAAAAATAATAGACTTTTCAATCAGCCAGTGTAAACGAAAACGATACATAAAAGCAACAACCCCTAATTCTATACCCGACTCTCGTGGTTACCAAATAAAATATTCATTGTATATTATTATAATATCAAAATATATTAATTTCACTCTACCTCGTATGTTTCATTCCGAAATTTTCAGTTAACTTCTACTAATACAGAAAAAATAATTGATTTTTCAAACGCCACTCACAATTCTCGTTTATCCTCGAAAACAGTCTGAAAATGAAAACGAAAGTACGTAAGGGAGACCGAGGACGGTTGTAACACTTTGATTTTAGAACACGATTATAAATAAACTATTGTATTTACAACAACAATTATTGTACGAACCTCTTACCAATTTATCTGAGATTATTCGGTTATAGTTGTTTTGTTGTGCATTAAGGAATATCCAAGTTATTAATAAAACATGGCATTCTTTGTGTGCTCAGTCATTACAGCCACAACATTGAACCCATTTTTTATTAACTTTGCTTATTATTACGTCCTACTCTACCACTTTAATTGTAGTTAGACTTCTTCTTCTTCTTCTTCTTATTACTGTTATTATTATTATTATTATTATTATTATTATTATTATTATTATTATTATTATTATTATTATTATTACTACTACTACTACTACTATTACTACTACTACTACTACTATTGTCGTTACGTCACTTATTATTGTTATTGTTAAGTTATTTTTGTATGTCACCGTCATACCATGTTTTCACCCTTGACTCATCCTCAAACTCTGTTTTATCTGTCCTTGCCGCATCATAACTGAACCTTTGCCTTGCCACGTTATCTTAAAAATTCGGATTTTACCATACTAACCCTTGTGATTTCCTAAACCCCCATCACTCAAGTAAGAACCTATATATGTATACATCAACTTTCCCTCAGCACAAAACCTTTCAAAACCTGTTTGTGCCTGTTTGTGCTAAACCTGCAGAGTTTCCTTCGAAACGTGGGTCTAACGAGATACCGATCCTTAGATCTATCATCAATACGCTCAGAAATAATTATTAAAATAAAGGAAGTTTAACCCGGAACGAGTTTTGGTAAATTCCCCGATCAGAACAAGAACCCTCACATTTCTTGGAAAATTCTTCCGTTGTGTCGCGTCGACATAACACTTGTGCTATAAGGTTCTTAGCCATCTTCGTATGGCTTTATATCCATGATTCCTTTATTAGTTTCTCTAATTTTTATACGAGGCATTCTAAAAGTTTAATTATGATATCACATTATAGCGATTTTAAATTTATTAGTTGACCTAATAAATATGGGCACTTATTTAAATTATAAGATTAAGAAAATACGCGTAGAAATCTCTTACAATCGACCCCGACTGTTGGCGTTACAATCGTCCTTGACCGCATTTTCAAATTGCATTGCCTGCAAATTGTCATTTATAACATGCTTGTTAATGCAAAGTAACAAACATTATATCTTTAGGATATATGAAATTAGAGATTCAAGACAAGAAGGAAGAATATATTTGCTAAAAAAGCTCTTATATCGCAATTTTAAAGCAGTAAGAAAAGTTAGATTTTAGGTACCGAAAAGTTATTTTCTTCCTTATACAGATGTCTATTTCGTATTTACCTAAGCATTATATGCAGATATCTATCATATATTTTGAGATATTTAACGTGTTACAACCGCCCCCGTGTTAGAACCGTCATCGGTCTGCCCTACTATTCCTCCGGAATACAGTGAGAAATATATCGAAAAGACGATGATAAAAAAGGAGCATGATCATCGACGTCTTTCGCGAGTAAACTTCAAAAAATTAGGTAAATATCCAATCGTCCACATCGAACATGACACTTGACCTTCCTGCAAGATTCTAGTCGGACCAATAGCTCTGCCGCGAGTGCTGCTTCATACGGTCGAGCGGATCCAATTTCCAAGGATACCCGAAGTTCCACGGTCTCCGTCGGAACAACAGAAACGTAATTCCGACCCGAACAAAAAAGCGACGCAGTGGCAAGAAGGGAGAGAGAAGTGGGACATACTCACCCGCGTTTCACGAAGTTCGCCAAGTAGTGGACCAACAGTTTGGACAGGTTCTCATCGGCCGAAGTGTAGTTGATCGAGGTGAACAAAACGGAGACCACCTCTCCGCGGAGGAGTGGTATCCCCAGGAGATAGGGGATCTCCTCGCCCTTCTGGCTGGGTCGATTCCCGAGCTGGAAGTGCAGGAAGTAGCCTCGGCCTCCGGCAGCCGAATGCAGCAGCGCCAACCTGAGAAGAGGAGCCGCGACCTGACCGTCTCCCAATAGGGCCAACAGGCCATCGCAGATCGCCATCGGACTCTGCTCGCCCCTCTCCCAATCCGTGTACTCGTTCCGCAAGGTAGAATAGATCTCGTGAAGGTGATAGCGATAGGTGTTGCGCACATAGGTGCGGAGAATGCGGTCTCTCCTGGTCTCGTTCAAGCCATTCTGTAATCACATCGAGGACCATCCTCATTAGAGGACAGTTTGAGTAAAGGACGATTTATATCATCCGTTCAGGTACGGACAGAGTTGTGCTAATTCAATTATATTATAATCCAATTATATTATAATCCAATTACACTGTAATTCAATCGCGTAATTCAATGGCATTAATTCAATTACAAAATTCAAACGTTTCATTTAATTGAATTACTAATTATTTTAATTACGAGTATAACTGAAGTACAATGTATAATTGAATTACAATATACAGGGTGGGTCACGAATTACGATTTTTCAGCCTCTTCTGATGGTCTGGCAAAAAAATGTTTCTTATCAAAGTTAATTAGTATTTAACCGGCAAGAAATTGCAATTGTTTAAATGTAAAAACAAATCGATTTTCGATAAAAAAGGCATGGTTACCGTTATATTTTTAAATGAAACTAGGTAACTTTAACTTCAGAGTATTGTAAACGACGTCGAGACGGATTCAACGACCTGGTACATGATGACTTTCAGAAGACATTGAAGGAGAAATTGCCATGAATTGATTGCCACAATATTTGGTTTTATATAAATTTTTCTTTTGTTTTATGTGTTAAAGTCTGCAATTGAATAAATGAGAATTTATAATGTTTACGTACATTTGTTTATGTTTACATGCGAGCCCTTCGTGCTATGTATCGTCGAATTATTTCAAATATTGCAATAATTCGGCAATCGATTCATGGCAATTTTTCTTTTAATATCATCTGAAGATTATCAATTAGTAGGTCGGTGAATTCGTTTCGACGTCGTCTACAATACTATGAAGTTCAAATTACCTAGTTTCATTTTAAAATATAACGGTGATCTTGCTTGGTCACGGATTGCAAAGCCACGGATTACATTTTCGCTAAGGAAAAAGTTACTGCAAATCTTCTCAGGAACGCATTTCCCAAAAGTACCATAATTTCTAAACACTCTGTATAGGTCTAAATAGATTTAGAACAATGAAGTTGGTACGGTTTGAATTTGTTCTTTCTTAATTGACTACGACTATGGCATACTCAGGCACGATCGTTAAGAAATTAATATAATGTGTTAGGTCTACCGAAAAGTTCTGTCCGTTTTTTAATTGAAATATAACACAATCTTCATACATTTAATAATATTTATTGTAGAATATACTTTCCATCGTTACTTATGACTTCTTGCCAGCGTGATGGCAACTTATAAATGCCATTTTTTAAAAATGATTTATTTTTAGAGGCGAAGAACTCAACTAGTGCTTGGTTGACATCAGCTTCAATTTTGAATTTTTTTCCTATAAAAAGTTTTGCAAAGAGAGAAACAAGTGATTATCGAAGGGTGCTAGGTCTGGGGAGTATGGTGGATGTGACAGAATTTCCCAGCCTAGCTCTACGATTTTCTGACGAGTCGCNACGAGTATAACTGAAGTACAATGTATAATTGAATTACAATATACAGGGTGGGTCACGAATTACGATTTTTCAGCCTCTTCTGATGGTCTGGCAAAAAAATGTTTCTTATCAAAGTTAATTAGTATTTAACCGGCAAGAAATTGCAATTGTTTAAATGTAAAAACAAATCGATTTTCGATAAAAAAGGCATGGTTACCGTTATATTTTTAAATGAAACTAGGTAACTTTAACTTCAGAGTATTGTAAACGACGTCGAGACGGATTCAACGACCTGGTACATGATGACTTTCAGAAGACATTGAAGGAGAAATTGCCATGAATTGATTGCCACAATATTTGGTTTTATATAAATTTTTCTTTTGTTTTATGTGTTAAAGTCTGCAATTGAATAAATGAGAATTTATAATGTTTACGTACATTTGTTTATGTTTACATGCGAGCCCTTCGTGCTATGTATCGTCGAATTATTTCAAATATTGCAATAATTCGGCAATCGATTCATGGCAATTTTTCTTTTAATATCATCTGAAGATTATCAATTAGTAGGTCGGTGAATTCGTTTCGACGTCGTCTACAATACTATGAAGTTCAAATTACCTAGTTTCATTTTAAAATATAACGGTGATCTTGCTTGGTCACGGATTGCAAAGCCACGGATTACATTTTCGCTAAGGAAAAAGTTACTGCAAATCTTCTCAGGAACGCATTTCCCAAAAGTACCATAATTTCTAAACACTCTGTATAGGTCTAAATAGATTTAGAACAATGAAGTTGGTACGGTTTGAATTTGTTCTTTCTTAATTGACTACGACTATGGCATACTCAGGCACGATCGTTAAGAAATTAATATAATGTGTTAGGTCTACCGAAAAGTTCTGTCCGTTTTTTAATTGAAATATAACACAATCTTCATACATTTAATAATATTTATTGTAGAATATACTTTCCATCGTTACTTATGACTTCTTGCCAGCGTGATGGCAACTTATAAATGCCATTTTTTAAAAATGATTTATTTTTAGAGGCGAAGAACTCAACTAGTGCTTGGTTGACATCAGCTTCAATTTTGAATTTTTTTCCTATAAAAAGTTTTGCAAAGAGAGAAACAAGTGATTATCGAAGGGTGCTAGGTCTGGGGAGTATGGTGGATGTGACAGAATTTCCCAGCCTAGCTCTACGATTTTCTGACGAGTCGCCAAAGCAGCATGTGGCCTGGCATTATCATCGGTAGCCATGTTTTCACGATCGCGTCTCACTTAATAATGACATGAGACATCTTTGTTTCGGTTTATTTAGGAGAGTACATGTGTGTAAATGCAATGATAAAGAGAGATAGTCATATATGTCTCAAATCAACATGTGCATATGGATTGAAACTTGAAGCGACACTATCGAACAGAACTTTCCGGTAGACCTAATATAACGATAAAGTGTAAGGGTGATGGCGATTGAAAGAGAATTTTAAAAATGTCTCTGTCTACGCGGTGTGCACGCGATGTGCACGCCATGTGCAACTGTTTAGCCAGTGTGACCGTGTCTTAAGCGATTCTCAATGGTTATTCTCGTCGCACCTTTTCTGAATTTTTAATACCTCGGGGTCGGCTAAGACGGTTTAAACTGAACCTTGAAATAAGGAGAGTCGTAAATGAAACTTTAAGATACGCCATCGATTGATGCAGCGGCGCTTATTTTGATGTCTCCGATACCTGGCGTCTTTAACGCCGTCTCACTTGACATTTTTATTACCTCCTTTGAATCTACAAATAGGCGGTAAGTGGTTCGATCGAGACGCTTCGTATCCAAGGTATTGAGTCTGTGTTCATTGGGAAATATCTACGTAAATTGGCTAATCGCGGGTGTATTTTTTCCAATTTAAGCATTGTTCGAACGTTATTTGCAGTGTAATATTAAGTTACATCATTTGTATAAACATTAGTCTATTCATTCCTGTGTTCATTGCATAATCAGAAAACGAATCCTCGTGTAAACATTCGTGGCTTCAAGGAAAATTCAATGAAACTATGAAAAATAGAGAGAACATTTTTTAACATTAAAATGTAAAATTTATGTTGAGCTTAAAATATTCCAACAAAATTGTAATTCGTCCGACACTATGTACAGCTGAATTTTTTTATGGCACATTGTATATGATTCCTAAATGATAGACAGATAGCATATGCCAAATGTATCTATCGATCGGAGATAGCTGTCTGACAGACGGTAATTAGTGGAAATTGGCGTCGATCGCGTTTCCAATCATAACTAGCCGACATATGTAAATGAACAATTCGGGCAGAATCACGGGACGTCCGATTATTATCAAATTGTCAAGGAGCCACGGAAACACGGTTCGCAAGATGTCTGACTACCGTGACCATCGGATCGGTGATAATGTCCACTACCGCAATCGATAGCTACGTTTTCCACCATAGAGTTTAGTAATTGGTAATTTACTGGCCCCGTGTCAATCATCAGCGCGTCGACCCCCGTGTAGGCTACTCGTGTCTCGTTAAATTCCCAGTCTTTATTAACCTTTTGCGCTCCAAATAGCATCGTCGACATAACAACTCACAGCGTTCTGAAGTACGATGGCAAATATCGCCGAGAATTCGAGATCATTTTTGATAAATAAATTTAAACCGTATCGAGCGGCCTTGTTGAAACCAGCGGAATTTTTAATTAAAATCCATATTTCTATTTCTATTTCAAATAATATAAAATAAGATATGAATTTGGACAAGTAGCATGGTATCAAAAACAAATGTGCATATGTTATTGATTTATATCGAAAGTGAAAGTAATTTCTTTCTTAAGAACTCATGTCAAGTTCAAAGCGATTCGAAGTAGACTGTTTTGTTCTTTGCTAAATGTTTACCATTTCAATAACCTGGAAAAATAGAAAAAATTGCCTAATCATGGAGATTAGTATGGATTTTTTTTGGTCACGTGTGCAAAATTTCACGGTAATCACGTCATTGCTCTTCGGAAAAAGTCAATTCGTGTTCATTGGAATCCTGTAGCGACCTTTGAACCTCCATAGTTCCGAGAATTCGTTACAAATGAATTTTTAAAGTCGTCAACATCAGAAAACCAGTTTCAATATTCGTTATCCAATTAGATCACGCGAACAACATGACCTCTGAACTTTCATTGCTTCGACAATTATAGAATTCCTCTACGATATCTCACGGTTACATTTTTCAAGCCAGCAATTTTGTGAGTCATTCAGATACGGAAATTGCTTCAAATTATGCTTGTCTAATTAGGCCAAATGTGGGACGCGTCCTCTGGTACTGCGCAGCTTTGACAATTTCCAGAATTTCGTTGCGACACTTCATCAGTCAATTTTGAGGTCAATCAGTATTTCTGAAGTCATGAGAATCACGGAATTATCTAAAATATTCCTCACCTCGTTAGGAAAACAAGAAACGTAACCTTTAAGTCTATAAATGCTTTAATTTCGTCGTGATACTTTCCAGTTACACCTTTGGAGTCAGAAACTATAAGAATATTCCATAAGACAGGAATTTCTTCAGCAATGAGTATCAAAAATCCTGGAAATTGTCGTTGAAATCACGGTAGATTAATTTGAATACAATGTGAGCGGAAAGGAAAACTGACGTTTCAAACTTTTAATTGAAAATTGAAGGAAGTCCGATGGAAGTAAATAAGTTATTGCGGAGGGTATTCGAAGATAGGAAGACGGTGCAGGGTGCGGGTGCCGTTAAACTAAATAAAACTCGGCCGACCTAGTTGTGAGTCGGTGGTGTTCGCTTACCTGTATATCGTCGTCGGTGAGATTCACCCAGGCTTCCTCGGACGTGAGGCCGAGCAGCACGTCTCTGTCGCCGAAGCTGGCAAATTCTGTGCCGGGCCCGGGCATCAGCGGCATCAGGCCCGAGGATGAAGCAGTCGGTTGGAAATTCTTGGCGGAAACGGAACAAAAATCGCTGTTTCACAATCGATTTAATTTGAATTTTTACCTTCTTTAATTAACACATTCGCCCTCGATGCAAGTTCAAAGTCACATCTTTCCATTTTATTTCATTTTCAACTACAATTTGTAAAAATATCTTGTTCTGTTATTTCTTCTTCATAATCAAGAAGGTTATGCATTGGAATTTTAAAATTTTACTTCACACAAAAAAATACACTTTCTAAACTGTACTTATGTACAGCGTGATTCATTTTCTAAAAATTTGTAAATTTCTTTTCAACGAACCTACAATTTTAGTATTTCTTATACAGCTGCTAAAAACAACAATTAAAGAGAATAAAACTTTTATTTCACGAAAATATAAGAAATTGAAGAAAAAATTCTTCATTTGACATTTAGCTATCTTTTTGTTTGTCAACATGATTAACTTTTTTTTCATTCTACGATCTAACATTGTTAATAAAAAAAATAGTTGAACATAGTGAAAATTGGCACTTCACTCTTGAATATATATCTTGCCACCTTAACACTTTGACGGCCGCGGCAAACACCTCGAAAATTTCATAAAATTATAGTATTTTATTCGGTGAAATATAAAAATTGCACAGCAAATTTATGACATAGATCACTTTTCCAACATTCTTACGCCTCGCGAATTTTAATAAGATTAAGAAATTATGATAGGCAAGCGTAGAAATTAATTTTCGAAAATTAAATTTTAAATAACTCTGTCACAGACATATGGATGTGTCGCGGCGGTCAAAGTATTAATAGCGTAATTATAATACACTTTTTTAATAGTGCAATTATGATATATCTTATTAATAATATAAACAGAATAAATTTGGTTAATAATGTAATTATGATGCATTCTTCAAAAAGTTACTCTAAATAGATTTTTACAATTCAAATTTTCGCGAAGTCACGTGTACGTGACTCCGGCCGTCAAAGTGTTAATTATTTGACGAAAAATTCTAAAAATCCTTATGAAGTTCAATTTATTTGCATACATCGCAATAAAGATTAATTCCTGAACCTAATTAAAGATTAGTGCAACTTGTGCAACCGGTTGGAAAAATTTAATTTCTTACATAAATCAATAATACTATAAAAAAAGTAATGAAATGACTATCGATTTTATAATTTTGTAATAGTTAAACGTGCGCTTAGGAACGATTTAAATAACATGTTGAAGTATGAAGATTTGATTACTATGTTGCTTTATTTTGCTGAATATTATGATATGAAATTAATAAAATATCATTATTGAAATAACTAAGATTTAGTTGATTTATGCATAAAAATGATTGTTAATTGGATTATTTCATAATTTGATTTTTTTATTATAGATTTAAATACAGTTCCACTGAAATCATTTTTCATATATTGTCTAATCAAAGTGTTGTCATCATCTAATATATTGTCAACATACAGGCGCACAGATGTAATACTGAAAAATATTTTGCAAACACAATTTCTAAGTAAAAATGGTTACATTAAAGAGTTCACGTCGTTCACAATCACACAAGATTAAATCGTCAACATGTTAAAAATTACAATGTCTCTAATTTCTCAAGTTCAGAATCAATTTTCGCTTCTAAACTCAAGAAAAACGCGATTTTCATATTTTAATAAGAACCGCTTAAACCGCTAAGAAGACCAGCACAACATACAACACAGAAACTTATGATGATCTATGCTTCACGACTCCTCCTAGTTACCTCTCCGTCAGGTTAATATACTAGATTTTCCAAGAGAAAGGATACCGAAAAATTGTCTCATTTCCATCTTGTTACACGAGTTGACCTCCTTAATACACCGGCTTCTGCTGGCCGTGCAATTAAGTCGACGTAAGAAGAACTTCCGACAACTATCGATTTCGAGCGAGCTACGATTGCGAAACTGCACGGTAATTGCAATTACAGGGCCGGTATACTTTATGGATTTTAATTAAAAGTTCGCCGACAAGCGATTCAGCTTGACGATATGCCGGCTGATCGGATCTCGTGAGAAAAAACGGAAAGAGATACCAGCTCGTTCGGCAACCGAGGTGTGATTAACGGTAACTATGCAGAGGAAAGGTAGGAGACTTAATCTGGGGAGCTCGACATCTGTCAACCGGTTGTCAGTTCAATTAACAATCTCATCGCTTACCCGTCGACTCAACGTTCGACAAAGTACGAATGCAACTTCCGATTTTTTCGCTGGGTGCAACGTATCGTTTTACACAAAGTGTGAGTCGCGCACCTGAATCAAACGGAATCCTTAATTCTCGAGCGGGAAACAGAAATTCTTAACACATTACATCATTATCAACGCCAAAACTTCTCACAATATCAAAGTCATTTAATTAGTTAGGACACTTTGTTGTTTCTACCCGAGCAAAAAATACTAAACTTGTTTGAAAAAGTTTCAATTGGTAAAGTTTCGGAATGAAATTGTACAAATTTTGTGAAGCATAATAATAGGAAAATTTTAAAAACAACGTAAATAAAGAAATAAAGCTGGCTTTTACATAAAAAAAATTAAGAAAACAACATTTTTTCAAGTCTAACCCAACGGTGATATATCGTTGTTCGGTACTAAAGGGTTAATATTTCTGCTCTTTTTTTCTCTTTGCTTATATTGGATTGTTCTAAAGCCGTCTTTCAAAGTTTTAAAACTTCATGCCAATACTTTTGCCTGATTCACTTCACAATTTTAAATTGCCAATCTCAACAGATTCGAGTTTATTCAAATGAACATATACAGGGTGTTCCATATTTTTTTGTACATAGTTTAGCAGTGTATTTTACAAGTAAAAATAAGAGTATAATGTAATATAATAAAAAGTCTATAAATGTTTTGTTAAAAATTTTTTGTGAGAAAAATACAAAATACGATTTAAACGCTGTTAAATGTACCTATAGTCCTCACACGACAAGAAAACATTTTTCTGTTTACATTCCCCTTCTTGCTAGCTGCCCCACTGCCTCAACTATCGGTCGCTATTGCCCGCTGTCGATCTTCGTCACCATTTTCGGCCAATAGCGACCGATAACTGCGGCAGTGGGACAGCTACTAAGAGGGGAACGTAAACACAAAGGTGCCTTCTTGTCGAATGAGGACTATATATCTCATCATTTCAAAGCGACACTCGTCTTTGTTGACACAAATTTGACATTCACGATTTATTGAATTTATTGTTGATTTCAGTTGCTTGTGATTTTGTCTGATCTCTTCGCAGGCGATGTTGATATTTGTAATTAATTCGTCTCTTGTACGTTATCCTTATCATATCTTTCACATTTCTTATTTTTTGACATAACTTCTCGACGAAGCATTTATGGACTTTTATGGATTGTTATGTCACATTTTAGTATTATTTTTACTCGTAAACACCCTGTATATCTGATCGAAATAAAGAATAACGATACGACATACATAGCGATGAGGCGAAAGAGATAATTATCGTGTACAACTGGATCTTTAAAACAATATCTGTTCGTCATTTCGGTAATAATGTCAAACATACGCGTGTCCAGACACTTATAATCTGTAATTTATGCCCGAGAGTCTGAGGATGTCGGCACATGTTGCAACAAGTTTGAAGAATTCTCTTAAGAAGACATTCATTTTTGATACAGTTTGGATCCTGATTAGAATTACATACTTGGATTTCTCTGTTGAAAGAATTTCCTATCGTTTTATGAAAGAAGTAATCCGAGTTATTAAACAATGTAGATGATTTTTCGATATTTCGCTTATGATTGATATACATTGTTATCACTTTTATTGAAATGCTGACACAGAATTGTTATAAAATCAATTGTTAATTTAGTTGTCCCAACAAAGTCTTCAAAGGTCAAAGTGTTAAATGGAAGTCGACTGTTTCGGAGTTTACGAGATACGGCCGCGATTCAAGTTAAGTGGAGCGCACTCTCCGCAGACTTGAGAAATATCCATTACCTGATTAACTGGCGGAGGCATGACCGTTCCATCCATGAATGGAGCAAACCCGGAAGTGAATCTCGGCGGGTCCAACTGCACCGCGAGAAGCTCTTCCAGGTTTCTCAAACGAAGGCACGGCGCGATGTCGTCAGCCTCGACGTCGCCAGGACATCCAGTATGATCGGCGACGCGACGTTTCACCGTCAACGGATCTCGTTGGATCGCCCAGGGTGATAACGCCGAACCACCTAATAAGACCACCCTCTCGACCAGCTCTGCAACATTCAGATATAGACACAGATACAATTCACACTGCAGTCGCAAATAAAATTAACTAGATAGCAGATGTTGATGCAAATGCATATTTTGATAGGAAAGTCGGCGAAGTTATGCGACCTAGACAAAAATTTACGTCGTTCATAGAGGATTTTAAAAATATTGTTTTTATTTCCTGGAGTTTGCATATTGCATATATTTTATTAGGTTTAAATGTCGGATTTCCATCTGATATCATTTACCCTTATTTTATCGAAAGATCCAGTAAAACAGCTAGGAGCAGTAAGGATACATTTTATTTCATTAGATTGTTCAGAAAGTACATTTCGCTCGACGTATATGATATAATAAAAGACACATAAAATTAAAGAAAGGTGACAAAATGTGAAGAAAGAGCAACTATACTTTAAATATTAAAAAATCGTGTTTCATTTTCTCTTGAGAAACGAAATTACTCTGTAACCCACTGTATCTTTCTGAAAAGAAATTAGGCAATAATCTACGCCCAGATCATTTTAAAAATCAACTCTTCCTCTCTTGTCTGTACTTTTTCTTGGATTCGTTTCGAGCCAGTAAAAAATCTGGAACGAAAACGGACCGGATATCCTCAAGCTCCGGTTGAACTTGCAAGATTTCCAGCAAGAAAATCCATTTCAATTTTCTCGTTCACTACCTACTGAGGAGAGCATACTCGAGAAAGAACAATTCAAGAAAATGAAAGTAGAGCTGTCACTCTGTAAGATAAGCCCGGCAATTCCATTTTAAACCTAATCTTTTGTACAAAAATACGATCGGACATATTAAACCAAAGAACTATCGACAGTAAAAAAAATGCAATATTTAATGCAATTTAGTTTAACCAGTTAGCTGTGTTTGACGAGTATACTCGTCATGGAGAAGTGGCATTACTTTTTGTCATGACGAGTATACTCGTCAAAAAGTAACGACTACTGGCTATTTAAATTGTAATTTTAGTAAAAACAAAAACATATTCTCAAAGTTCGAGATGTTTACAATATTTTAATATAATCCTACACGAAGGTGTTTACATTATTATAAAAATAAGATTAGAAAAGAATCACGATATTGGTGTTCGAGGTGCAAAGTGCCAATATGATCGTTTCTTGTTTTGTTGAATACCACTCTATAGCAGCAATTTGAATTTTTAACTTTTATAAGTATTTGATTTTTCCTGCGTTCTTCGTTTATTATGTATGCAGTATATTGTTAATTTTATAAAATAAAACCGCCTTTTAAAAAATAAAACCGACACTTACTCTGCGTTTGACGAGTATACTCGTTATCGCTTGATTCTTGCAATATATAAGGGTGTCCCAAAATTATGGTATTTCCGGGAAATGTATGGTTCCTGAAATCGTATGAAGTAACTTTTTCCTTTACAAAAATGTTCTCCAAGGCATCGTTAACGAGTTATTAACGAAAAACACTGACCAATAAGAAGCGAGTTCGGCTAGCGCGAGGCGGTCGAGCCAACGAGCGCACGAAGTTCAGTTTCGTTCATTGGCTCGCCCACCATGCGCCAACTGACCTTGCCTCTCATTGGCCACTGTTTTTCATTAATAACTCGTAAACGAAGCCGCGGATTGTATTTTCGCTAAGGAAAAAGTTACTTCAAATGACCTCATGAACCCCTCAGTTCCTGAAAATACAATAATTTTGGGACACCCTGTATATTGAGTTGGCGGGAAGTTCTGTCGTATTTTACTACTTGCAGGTAATTTTACCTGTGAGGACAAAACAAGCAGGTAAAATGCGTCATGTGGTGGGTCTTATTTTAGCGTATTTCTCGTGGGATATAAGAGGACTAATTTTAATATCCTTCATCAATTAGTTGCGAAGTACAGATAAGATGGCACTGGATAAAGTGCATTCAAGACATTGCACATAGCATGAGTTCCAGAAAGGAAGCAACGCATCGGTTTCTTGTAAAAACTTATGCGACACGTTGGAAAGTGAAGTTGTAAATGTTCGGACCTGCCGAAGATGGTTTGCCAAATTTCGTTCCGGAGATTTCAGTCTCAAAGAAGATCGTCGATCTGGGCGGCCATCCAAGGTCGATAATGACATTTTGCGGTCCGTGTCGATCGACAAGCTGCCTGAAAGACGGCAACGAGTGGTTGCAAATAATGGATATTATATTATTGATTAAAATGTAAATAAAAATTATTAAAACTCTGATTCAAATGTCTAATTTAAAATACGACAGAACTTTCCCGCCAACGCAATAGTTACGCGCTCTGAGAAGGAGACGCCGCAACTAATTCGTTAAACGAATAGCATTTTTATTTTACCTCTGCCAGCTGCAGTCTCCTGTTCGACAAGAGCAATTTTTATTCGGTCTAGCTTTCCAAGAATCGCCTAAAAAAATACTCGCCGAATTGTCCACAATGTCGACCGTGTCTAGAATAAACAAGGATTGGTATTCGATGGAAATCGTAGTCGCCGGAAAACGAATGCTCGAACACGGAACAAACCGGAGTGGTTTTCGCGTGTGTCGCGAGGATTTTCAGCTCGTCACCTTGCAACGAGAATACTCGTGGCGAAGAGGGCCAGCATTAGGGGCGAATCCGAGCAGAAGGGTGAGAGGTTAAAACGCATTGTGGAAAGGCATTAAGGACGACACGAGGTGGGTTCGTTAGTGGAATGGAGGCGCAATCTAAAAAACGCGGCACAAGAGTCTTCTCCCTTCGGCTCGGTTCAGACTCCCTCCCCTCCGCGTTCTCTGCATCTTCTGCGCCCGGTGTTTCCCTTATTGTCTGTCGCGAGGTTAGAGAAGGCTACACTCTCGAGGAAGCTTGTTAACGTCTCTAGTGGCTGTCGACGACGGAGACGATGGTGGCATCGTCGTCCTCGAGGAACATCCCCTCGACTGCGCGTGTCCTGACACCTTCGGCTTCGACTAGCCACGCAACACCCTTGAAAATCGCTCCCGGAATTACCGAAACACTCGGGCTCTTTCGGATAATAACATCATTTTACTCGCGATTCCGCTGTGTATTGCGGTGCTTATGCAAGTTGGGCATTCTGCCACTAACGTTCGAATAAGCGATTCAATCAATTTTCGTTTTAACCCTCCGACCCGCGGTACGGTATTTTGCCTGACTTCGTCGAATCATATCATTTTTCTCGCATTACCTGTCTAAAATGCGTCTACTAACTTATTTGTAGTATTTTCACCTAGACGAAATAATTGTAAACAAATGAAAATTATTAGTGAAAAATTCAAAATATTATTTTTATTATTTAATGGATTCAGAACGTGCCTATTGATTTCTTTATTTCTTTATTTACGGTATTTATTTATTTAAGATAGTGTGGGTATAGTTTTAAACGTTAAAACACAAATATAAAAAGAGCTTAGCAAACTTTGAAAGGGAATATTTTTTCGGTCGTTTATGAATAGTCGAACACAAACGGGTTGATCATCAAACGTTTTCTGGAAAACAGATATTGGATGTCACGTATGTATTCATTATTCAAACATATTGAATAACGGATAAAATCATATTCGGGCAACAGGGGATTGTTTTTTCATGAATAACCAATAATTTCTCGTCAAATAGGATTTTCTTTTAGTATGGATCTATAAACATGGCATTTGTATCGGTTTGGTCGAAATAAACGTTGCCCGATTCTGTTGCTTCAACGGATTTGAATCAGGAATCTAAACGAACAATTATCTCTTGTTTACTAAAAAATTTGACGAAACATATCCAACCCTGTACCCTGTACCCAGTTCAACTGTACTTTTTATGCAAAGTGCATTTCATCTTCAATTCCATCAATCGATTAATCCAATCGTCGATTTTTCGACAATTCATGTTTTTAATCATCGACTAACGATTACGTTCACCAGTCGATTAATTCAATCGTCGATTCTTATTACATTCATCAATCGTTCAATCAAATCAAACATTTTAATCGATCGATGCCCAACACTGGTATAGACAATGGGAAGTAATGAAAAGTGATAATGATATAAAAACAGAGACAAGTGATAACTAGACTTCGGATTTGCAAAATGCATGAACTACGTAGGTAATTATATGTTTTGTTAATAATTTTGATGAGTCGGGAGTAATATAATAACGTTTAAAAATTGTTCAAATGTTCTTGCAATTTTGCATTTCAACAACAAATTGTCAGAAGCGCATAAAATCCGCAAGTCTAGCGATAATACTACAAAACTATTCTTTCGAAAAAACTGGCTCGGATTTTATGCGTCCGTGGTGTCTACGGTCACTAGCTTCTGATATTTCCCGGTATTTTTTCTATTTTTTAGTTGGAGTTGAGGCATTGTGGAGGGGGATGGCCGCGATGAATGACGGGAAGCATGGGCGAGGCGCGGACAGACATCCGGTTTACCTTTTGCCATGGGCGAGGCGGCTAAAAAATTGGCGAGCGCGGCGCCGGTTCCGTGGCCAAAGAGCGTCAGTCGATCGGGATCGCCGCCGAATGCGCCGAGATTCTCGTGCAACCAATGAAGGCCTGCCACCAGATCCATCAGGCCGTAATTTCCCTGCGCGCTCCCCTTCGGGCCGGTTTTAAGAAAGCCTGCAACCAATTTCGACGAATTAGTACGTGTCCGTCCGGTTAGTACCTACGGTTATATTGCCGCCGTTTGTTTCCGATGGGAATTAAACAGTTGTTTCCCCTTGAAACACGGAATTTACGGTGGCGGCCATAAAAGCGACGGACGCGGCAATCTCTTTCGAGCAATAACTCAAAAAGCTTCCACCTCCCCCGCCGACCCTGGGGGGTGGCCGAATTAAAACCAGACAGTTCGGGAGCACCTAAATCTTTAGAGATTCCTGCTCGCCGCGCCGCGAAATGTGTCGATTCCGAAGGAGTACGTCCGATTGCGACGTGAATTTATTGAACGCCGCGCTGTGCAAGTAAACACGGCTGTTCGAAATGATATTTGTACCAAAGAAAATAACGTATACACTGCGGATTTTATGCATTTGCGACGAAAACGAATACATGGAACACAAAACACTGACAATATTACAAAAATCTAATAACCTCATTGCATTATTTATAATCGATTGAAAACGGAAATGACTGTTTATGCAGTTCCTATTTCTTGCAACGAGTGCATATAATTTTTAGTCTGCATGAAGATCCGCAGTCTCTTGGTGTACGATGTAGTGCAGCAAGTAAGGTGAATGGTGATTTGTGCTGCACTGTGCAGGACAATAGAAACATGGCTACTAGTACATCCAATAATGTAATCATGAAACTGCAGTTTCCACTGTATGAAAAAACGTTATTTTTTTCTGTGTAATTTAATATGAAAATGCTACCCTGTACGGAAAATTGTTACTGTGTTAGTTTCTTGCACAATGTGATTGTTAGACTGCGAAATGTTGACCAAATTAATTGCAAGAAATATAAGTTACTGGAAAATGTCGTTCCTGTTTTAATCACTGTAATAAGGTGACAATAATATAACAATATTCTAAAACTCTTCCAACGCCTTTTCAATTATTTGTCATTTTTTTGTCATAAACGCATAAAATTCGCGGTCCAATGGTTAATTTTAGGTTGTTCGGAAAGTTCGTTTCACATTTCATCGAGATCGTTTCATTTCATTCATATGTGATAATACATAATACTACATAAATTATTACGTCTAACCACGAAAGAAAAAAAATGATAATATCCTGCTACCAAAAAACTATTACTACAGAATAACTGCAGTACAGAAATTAATATTATTCTGTGTATAGCACAGAAAAAATTGCTTCTGTACCGTGTAATGCAATTAAAAAGTAATATTATTTTATGCACCGCAGTCAAAAAATTGCTACTGACCCTGCGCATAAAAAAGACTCCCACTGCATCGTATAATGCGATTAAAAGTTGCTACCGTCCCATATAATGGAACAGAAAAATTAAGTATCGCCTCGTCTAACTCAATTGAAAGATTATTGCTGCCTTGTAAAACGCGAAAAAAAAATCGAGATCGCCGCGATACATTAAAAAGTTACTACTCCTGTCTGTAATGCGATTACAAATTTTTCCTATGCTGCATAATTCAATAATAAAGTTTGACGCGAAGGTATGCACGATATAGTTACGAAACAAGTATAATCTTATTATAGAAAGATTCACAAATATTAAGATTATAGGGTAATGTCCCATTCAATATGTCTCCCATTCATGACAGTTCTCTCCTACGTGCACACAAAAATCACTATAGTCCCGTATAACGCAATCAAGAAATTGGTATCGGTCGGTTTAAACGCCGTAGAAATATTGCAGCTGTTCCGTGTGTAACGCGACTAAACATTTGCTATTGACTGTCCCTATGGCAAAACAATGCGTCCGCTGCATGAAACGCGACTGAAAAATCGCTAGTGGACCGAAGAACGTGACCCAAAAATGGCTAGTGGAACGTATAACGCGACCAAAAATAGAGGGCCACTATTTCGTCAACTCGGTTAAAAAATTGGTGAAGGGGGTTATGCATACGCGTATGTATGTACGTGTGGAACGGTGGCCGGGTCACTTTTGACTCGGAGTATCTCAATCGTTCAGTTAATTGCTCAATTTTCGGCGATTGAATAAAATAAATTGCTGTTACATGAGCAACAACGGAAAGCCTAATTAGTCTCAACGAAATATCGCGAAAAAATTTTTGTTGAAAAATTGCTGAACAAAACTGAACAAACAAATCGTTATAAACATCGTCGATACTCGATGTCGTTAAACAAGTCGTTAAAGTTGTATCTCGATTATGGGCTAAATAGCGTGACATAAATATTCGAATGTTAAGAACGATTATTTAATAGCAGTGCCAGACATCATATTTATTAGTTTGTGCGGTAAATCGTTTCGCAAACGCGCTGCCTTGGATCGAGTTGATTACATGTAAAAAGTAGACGCATAATACGTGATTCTGATATCGGAGGATCGGATAATCGAAATTGCTCGCTGCATTGTCTTCGGAGGAAAGCAACGCGCGTGCCGATCGTTTTCTTATCTCGAAGATATCAATTTCATTATGAGCGTAATTGATTAGCAGTATTTATTGTACATAAATTATGTTATAGAGAGGCGCCTGCGTAATTACTCAAAGCTGATCCCCCGTTTCATTAAATTTAAGCCGGCGCGGCGTCGGCATGCCGAACCCCTCAGTCAAGGTTATTCACAGACAGCAATCAGAAACTTTGAAGCATGAGTTACGCGAGGATATTGCTCGACGTACTTTGCGGTGAAATTCCGAACTGATTGCTGATACGAGAACTTTCCAATAAAAATGCAAATTCCCCCACCTGATCTATTATACTCGGTCTCTCTTACTTTATCCCTCTCTTTCTCTCTCTCCCTCACCCTTCATTTATTAAAATCGTCGAAATTTCTCATTAATACCAGCAAATGCTTTGATAATATTGATTCCCTGCCTGGTAATATACTTTGTCAAATAACGCGTCAGACATTCCTTTCACTAAATTATATATTGCTGCGTTGTATAATAAATCAAGTGTATTTAATATTAAACTGTAGCTGGTTTAATATAAAGCTTTGATAGTACGTCGATTTTCAATAAACATTTACTACGAAATTCTCTTACGGGTATATCTATTTGAGTAAAAATTTCTTTGTGGAGAAAATCATGTGAACTGCTTGAATTACCTTTTAATTAACTAACAATATTTATGTATATGTTCAATATGTGAATTCGTGTCATTTTCCAGAAAATAAATTATCTTTGCGCTAAATGTTGTGATATGTTGAAACACAAGCATGAATCTTCGTTAAACCGGTAAAATTCAGAAAATTTAAGTAAACAATAGTTTAGGAAAAGATAGCTAGATACGGGGCGTGTTAAGTATTCTGCACTCCTCGAATGAATAGATGAAATGAATAAATAAAATGCAAAACTGAAAACAACAGGAGAATTTAAGGATATGGTTACATTATTTTCAAATGATTACAATTATCAAAAGGAAAAGAACATTTAACTTATTCCTCTTACAATCAACTTGAACAATTTTATGCAATATAGGAATAACTTTAAAATTCTTAAATACAGAAGTTGATACATCTTCCTTTGTCTCCTTCGAAACCATGCAAATTTTGTATCCAACAATATTCCATAAAATATAAATTATTTGCAGTGCGCAAATTACGTGGCTTATCCTACAAACATTTATATTTGTTCAGTAATTTGCACATAAGAGCACTTATAATTTAAACGACTCTGGAGATGACTGAAACCTTTCTAATCAATGCAAAATTTCCTCGTTCAGTGCCATATAAAACACAAATACATTCGTATTTATATTTATATGTATACTTTGAACAAATGATAAATGTTGTCTTTACATTCATACTTGTCATTAATGGAATTAAAATAACCGAATATGGAATTAAAATAACAAAAAAATTTTTATCACAGGATTATAAATATAATAATAAATATCGACGACTTTTCGAAAGTGTCAGAAAAATCAAATTTTAAGATCAAACAAATAATAAAAATAGGTGAAATAGACCTTCAAGGTATTAATACAACAAAACCCTTCACAGTCAGAGAATTTTCCCGGCTCAGTTACCGGAAGCTCGAAGTTTTCATTATTTATTATTATCTTTTACTTATGTTATTCGTTAAATATTACATATTTACTCGCAAAATTGCAAATGCCCCTTTAAATAAAACATAAAATCATAGAACGTTGGAAATAAATGTTTATCTGTTTAAATAAAATAATATAAATAATATAAATAAGTTTATATTATTATATATATATATATATATATATATATATATATATATATATATATATAATAATACAACTGACTTTCAAAAATAATCTCTTTAAATAGATGTTGACAAATGATTGAGTTGATACGGACTGTATGAAAAATTCATTTCACGAGTATCGCAGCTATCGGTAGTTTCACGTCCCTTGATATTGGACATCCGAGTGCAAGGGTTAAATTTCGAATCTACCCGGCCGGAACGTCCGGTTGGAAATACTGTGCAGCCCCTGCTGAAAAAGAGAAAAAGGGAAAACGTGGACCCTACGACAAATATCCATTTAAATAGACGAACACCGGGCGCGAGCGTTCGGTCGCGGATTGCGATTGCAGCGTGGCGATCGTTGCAGCTCGTTGAGTCGCGGCGCACGTGTCTGAACGATGCGATCGATGAAAAACGCGCGGTACACCGCCGTGCCGTGCCGTACCGTACCGCGTATCGTATCGTATCGTATCGTACCGTACCGTACGAAATTCAGCAGCGCCTGATGACGGAAATGGGGGAGGAAAACGGGTCAGAAAAGAACCAGGAAGAAATCGAATCGACCGACTGCGGCATATTGGATAACGCCGCGGGCGCATTGTTTCGCTTCGACGGCAAACGGAACGCGCGAGACAGCTTCCACCGGGACAAAGGGTAGCGACGAAACAAGCCCCGCCAGAGAACTGTGTGTTACAGTGCGGCACACGCTTCTGCTCCGCTCCGCTCTCTGCTCTGCTCCGCGTTCCTCTGCTCAGACATAGAAATGATATCTCGATCCTTCTCCAACTTCCACCGCGGTTCC